GCGGCGAAGTACAGAAGTCCTGGCAGTTTCATGATTTTAAACCTCACTGCAACTACAAAACAACTACCACTTCCAAAGGTGGACTTGTGTATTCAGATTATGGAAAAAAAATTACCGAAGGGACGAGTAGTTTTCTCACTTCATCGGCAGCTCGTTTCAGCTTCAGCTTTGCACGATTGGATGTGTCTTCGCACTGTATTAGCACATGCAATTTTTCCGACAAATGTTCCCAGTTCGGTTTCCCACGATTCGCCTCTTCCTTTAAATGCAGTGAAACTAACGAGAAAAGGACAACATTTGGAAAGAAGGAGATAAAAAAGAAAAAAAATATATATATATATACATATATAAATCGGAACTCTTAGAAATATTCCCAAAGTTTTAACCAGTTTCTTCTTGCTAGTAAATATAGCATCCATAAAAAACCGGAACATAAAATTAGAAGTTGCTGTGCGATAAAATTATGAAAATATCGCAAAAGACAAAATCAAAAGGAAAAAACAAAACCTTAATTTTATCGCGCATCGAACCTCTACCACGGACCATTATTTTGCAGCCAGTTTCTTGCTCCAGTTGTTTCGCTGTCATACCACGCGGACCCAATATTCTTCCAACGAAGTTGTACTAAAAAATAAGCGGTCGACACATTTCGAATTCTCAATGAGTTAAAATAACAAAAGAAGAATCCGAAGCGGCAATGAAGTGTGACAACTGTTTAATCTAATGTAGCTAGTTTATAAGTTTAAACATGGCCACATTCATCACCAGCAAATTTCCACACTAGCAAGATTACAGTCGAGGACAACATAATAGCTGCACCAGATTGACTGACTTCCCGACTAGTGAGTAACATCTCTTGCTCTTTCGCTTCTCCATGAAGCCTCATCAATTTTCAAGCACCATCACAAACTTATAACTTTCATTTAATGCAACTGCCTACTAAATACCGCAAAAAAATATACTCAGCAACCACGACGAAAGTACAATGAAAACAAACATCAGGATGTTCGTCCACCGGTACATATATTTTCTCGCTCATGGTGGTAACTTCGCCCAGTGGCTCCGGCAAATTCGACATCGCATCTTTTGCAAAATCAAACTGGAACAATGATACGCGCACTCTGCTGATCTCTATAAAAACACATTTAATGAATAATTGCTTCATCAGTACAAGTAGACAATTATGAATGACTAAAAGAAGAAAAATGGAAAACACCCCCAAATGTTTCTCCTACTGCCCAATCACGACACCGTCTTAAAACAAGACTAAAGGAAACTGCAACCTTCGTCGGCGAGCCGATCCAGATGATGGAAAAG